AGAAACGAAGAGGGATTTCCATCAATGCGAGTGGGGCTAGGGAAGGAGGATGAAGACGGGCTAGCATGGTAGGAAGGCATAGGACTAGGGAATGATGAGGATTGTGGGCTTGGCTGTATGGAGGAACAAGCACTGATATTAGCTGAAGTTCCTCCATTCTCAGTGGGAGGTGGCCTGCATCCCTGTGTAAAATGCATATCTTAATTAGATGTTAAACAACAAGCTTCATAAACACCGTCCTAATTGAATTCACACCTCTGAAAGGAAAACTAAAGCGTAATGATAAACGATATGAATCCGAAAAGCATAAAAGTCGATTCTATGGGGAAAATTAGCATGCTTAAGAGAATTAATAACGACTTATCTGATTAATTTTACTATGGTGAAATTCTACATAAACAAGGCCATAACTCATTAACTGTTGCAGGATGGAAGCCCCTGAATGAATTTCATGTTCGATATTGAAAACAAGAACTCCTTGACAGCAATCTGGTCATTTTTCAATTTTCTCCAAATGAAACGAAACATTCGACATTAGTACTCCACGTAGTTCAGCAGCTCTGCTCGAGGTGGGAAAGGTCAAAAGGCAGGAAAAAAAGCGACATTGGAGGAAAACCTAAGCTACATGTAGATCCAGGGGATACCAGAGAAAGGAGTTCAAGTAATAATTTTAAAAGCAAATCTGCCGAGATCATAGGGGTACCGAGCAACAAAGGAAAGTGAAGGAAGCGAACCTTTCTATAGGTAGTTCCATCCTCCTCAACAATCCAACCAGCCTCAGCACAGAGAGCCTTTAAGACCTCGTTGTTGTCACAGTGCTTGGGAAGCTTATAGTTCCCCTGCGCTCTAAGGCCGGCATAGATCTGGGCAGCAATCGCCCTTCTGCGTCGTTCCCTCTTCTTGTTGTTTTCTCTCTCTTTCGAGGTGGGCATCCTCCCCGACGATCCTCCGCCTGTCATCGCTCCGGCCACTCTCAGCTTGCCAGATGGGGCCGGCTCTCAGTCTATAATTGTAACAGGGTTGCACGGGGCACTCTTCTCTCTCAATCAAAGACACGAGGACAGCGATTTATCCGTCCAGGTTTCTGCACAAGCAGGACGCGGCTTGCTTTTTAGATTCTTTGTTGGCACAATTTCTTTATTTTCCCCTCACTGGCAGGCGCATGAGGCGCAAATTTATTTTATTATTTCATCCAAAGTCTGGCTTTCCTCGTATAAAGCTCATAAAACCAAACTTCCACATTTTCTTTTCTCACCGCATCCGCAGATAACATATTTTATACTATCTCCGATCCTAATTATAAAATTTAATTGACTAATTTGAAGAGATTAAGAAAGTAAGTTAAGTTAGTTATTTGTAATAAATAAATATTATCATTTTTAAAATATCCTTGCTAATTAAGTGTATTGGCTAGAACTATCATTACTAAAAATACTATCTTGGAAAAAAATACATAAATATGATAGACAAAATGAATTGGGGTCTTATAATTAGGACCAAACTAAAAGTAAAATAAGATTTTATATTAAGAACTAGAGGTAGTATGCCGTTGTTTTTGCCTCCAGTATTAGTGAACTAAAAAAAGTATTCTTTTGTGCATCAGACACTACTATATTGATTGTAATAATCTAAGTGTTGGTAATATAATCAACGGGTTTAATAAAACTGGCTCTTTACGATTGTAGTCGAGAAATGTGTCTGTTGGGAAAAGGGGAGAGAGAAGAAATGTCTTTTTTTTTTTTTTCCCAACAAACACAGATATCTTTCTATTAGAAAAAAAATAGAAAAAGAAAAGAAAAGTCGCCAGCGAAGCCCACAACTGTTAGTCCTACAAGAAAAAAGAAACTTTTACCCCGCAAACAAGGGAGCGTCAGTGGGAACTGAAAAGAAGGAATAGGATTTTACATATGGTGCTCTAGAATGGATTTTACGATATGTCAATCTAATTACCATGGCTTGTATTTAATGAGCATTCATATCCACATTTATTATGATGTGGGCGAGCACACGGAACCAAATCCAAAAATAAGACGGGTCAAAGTGAGTGTTATTGCCGGAGGCTCGTCTTCATTCTTGATTGCAATTGGACTGACTGATGCTAAGCTCCCAAAAATAAGACGGGACAAAGTGAGGGTTATGAACAGAGTGAGTGAGGAAGAGATTCATTATTGGAGACTAAAGAGAGCGTCCCAAACAAACCAAATACGTGGAACGTGGGGACCACTGCGTCTGTCCTCTCCAGCCCTCTCCACGTGACTCGGGACCACCTCGGATGTCCAAACTCACTGTCTTCGCATGAACCCCGAGACCAGGCCACCCCATCATTTTGCCCGCCCAAATTAGCTTTTCTGCGTAAAGGGCAACACACCAGGGCTGGGGCATGAGCCCACGTTTGTTGGCCCAGACAACCAAAATTCACGAACTAATCATTAACAAAAAATTGTTGGTTGACAACGACGACATTGTTCATATTTGCGGTCTAAGTTACAAATTACGCATCATTTTAAAAAAAAAAAGGTCCCAGCTTGGCAAAACAAAAGGTCCATCATTTAAATCTTGTAGATTAAATTAATTTTCTGAGTAATGCTTAGACAAGCACTTTTTTTTTTGCTGGTCAAAAAGAAAAAGACAAGCAATTATTTTTAACTAACTTTAATATATATCTAAAAAGTAATTTTATGTAAAAAAATTGTGTGATTAGAAGAGAATGCAAACACACCCATATCATTAATAGAAAACAACTACTTGTATAAAAGACAAGTGTAACAGCGTTTACTCCTAAATAACTTAGTTTTTACCTTGGAAGCATTCTTTTAAATTAGGAGCACAATAGTAAATTTTTATTATAATTTCAATATTTTATTTTTGTTTGCATGCCACTTCTTTCTTTATATTACCTCCGCCCCTAAATACAAGAATTAATTGACTAATTTGATTAGATTAAGGAAATAAGTTAATTTAGTTATTTGTAATAAATAGATGTTGTCTTTCTTAAAATATCCTTATTGATCAAGTTTATTAGCCAGAATTATTTTAAGAAAAGATGAATAAATATGAAAGATAAGATAAATTATAATCTTATATTTAAAATTAAAATAAAAATTAAATAAAATTTTATATTAGAGACAGGAAGAGCTAGGATAATAAGAGTAGTGCCTCGGACATGGAAAATTGAAATTTAAGAGGAATTAATTACGTGAGAGAAACAGTAACGTGGCCCGTAAATTGGACGTCCCCCATATGTGACTGCTGCCGCAATATTAGAGTCATCGGCTTCAATATGACTGAAACAGGGAAACAGTACTGCACAGTACACACTTCTCCCTCCATTTTGGAAACTCAAGATGACATTGGATTTACGCTGCTTCTATACCTGTTAACCGCTAGGGGGGCGCTGTCCACTTCTTTCTTTCATGGTCTCTGCTCTCTCCTCTCCGATTCTGCCATTTTCTATGCATATTTCCTTTTGTCGTTTTAATTATTTCTTGTTTTTTTAAATAATATTGCTGACAGTTTATGCGGTAAAGCGCCAAACTACAAGGTGGAGTGAGAGATCCGCCATTGACGCTGGATTTTGAAGCCACAAACTGTTCCCGATGCATCTCACTCGGACTCCTAGACACCGTGGCGGCGCTTTTCTTCGGTCGGTTCTTCCGATTTACGGTCTCAGACGTTCTGAAACCATGAAGTGAGTTTTCCTTGCAGTTTCAACTTCTCTGATTTCTCGACTCTCTCTCTCTCTCTCTGTTTCTTTTCTCCCCTCTTTTCAAAGAGAAATCATCTCGTTTATTTTCCATATCTGTGCTTGCTTATATCATACCTTCTCCTTTTTTTGTTTGACTCTCTGCTACATTTACACCTTTCGCTGTCCATAATCGTGCAGCCTTTCTACCCTTTCTTAGTTTCTGTTGATGGCTTCAGCTTTTAAAATATGCGGACCTTTAACTCATTACCAACAAACAGAATCCAGTATTCAAGGGGATCATTTTACTAGATGCAGTGGGATCGAAAGAATTTTGTACGGACCCGGTGATAACGTTTGTTCAATTGAAAAACAAGTGTTTGGCCCAAGGTCAACGGGCAAAAGTTTAGCGCCTCCTCGCGGATTAAGTTTCTTCATACATTCTATATCATATATGTGGACCAATTAGTAGCTTTTATGCTAGGAAAGCTATAACCACGGGAAAGGCAACATCTGTTCATTCATGTCAATCTTTTATGTGGGGATACTATCTTCATAAAAAGCTACGGTCTAGGGGAACAAGAAACGGTTCAATTCAAACATCAAATTAGAGCAACGAGACAATGTAGTCAGGAAAAGCAACTTCGTAATTCCCCAGTTTTCAACCTGTCTTTCTCTCCATTTACTCTGTTTTCTTAGGCCTGATAATCCATTTACTCTCCTCAAATTCCATGAAGAACAACTTCTAGATCTTTTTCGATGGGGAAACCAGTTTGCTACCCTGAAGCCTAAGTTATTTAATTTCTGGCCTGGGATACCAATAATGGTTCAGACAGATATCGAGGTAGTAACTTTTAACTTGTGTAGCTATCAATTATCCTATTGGAGGTTTGGTCTTTTTCTGCTAAACTTCCTAAGAGTATCAGGGAATAACGAAAGTACCAATTTAAGGTTGAGGTGGCATGACAACGTTTTCTTACATGTGACATTTATCAATCGTAATGTGCTAGAAAGAGAAAGGGATTCGTTCTTTTAAGTTAGCCTATGAAAATTTGTTTCTATTTTAGCAGTCTGTTACATGGAGTTCTTCAGGGAACAAATGCCTCTTACGATAAAAAGCTTTCAAAGAACCAATCTCATTTGTTACAGTTGACAACAAAATTACTTATCCGATCATTTAGGGAGATGACTACTGGCTATAGAGTTTGGAATAAACTAAGCTAAGACATCAAGTAGTTCAGTCGATTCACGCATTTGGAATTTTGCTGAACGGTTTTTTCCTTAAAATGATTTTCTATGAAAATGAGGTCCTAGTCCCGCAGCATACTACCTTAAACCTTTATCTAATTTTACATGTTGTTCTGTGATTTTCTCTATTTCTTTCTTTCGGTGCCTGATGCCAAACGTTGATATGTCGTAATAGGTTATTGGTGCCTTTTCTTTCACTTTTTCTCTTATATTATGGGAGGTTTTTTTCGCTGCATTAACAATAATCTTTACCTTGGCCATACTATGCTTTTTAACAGAACAATACAGATTTTTGGTGTCTCCCTTTCTCTTATTCTGATCAACTTTGCTGCCATTATGGAGCGTGCTGATGAAAATCTCCTTCCATCTGTTTACAAAGAAGTTAGCGAAGCGTTTAATGCTGGACCATCTGATCTGGGCTACCTCACATTTATACGGAACTTTGTGCAGGGATTGTCATCTCCCTTGGCAGGTATACTTGTTCTAAATCATGATCGGCCTGCAATTCTCGCCATGGGAACTTTCTGCTGGGCTTTATCTACCGCTGCCGTGGGTGTTAGCCATGATTTTCTGCAGGTTGCATTCTGGAGGGCAGTAAATGGTTTTGGTTTGGCAATTGTGATTCCAGCCCTCCAATCCTTCATAGCTGACAGCTACAGTGATGCTGTGAGGGGAACTGGGTTTGGATTACTGAGCCTTATTGGTAATGTAGGAGGCATAGGAGGTGGTGTTTTGGCTACAGTCATGGCTGGGCAGCAATTTGGGGGCATACCAGGATGGCGATGTGCCTTCCTTTTAATGGCATCTCTGAGTGCATTAATTGGATTCTTGGTTTTAGTATATGTGGTTGATCCAAGGAAAAGAAATGTCACGGCTTCCGATGCCAGTCAGAGTTCAGATAGGTAATGACATTTTCAATTAACACTTAACAGTCTAATCCACCCATTTGGTCATATTACATTATGGTTGCGTTGACTGTTATCTTCATCATCGAATCCGTATTGATCCTTGGAAATTACATTTTAGATGACAGAATAATACTATGACAGTTAATATAGTTATATTTGTTGTAAAGTCAAGATGTAGAAGTGGAAGCCCGTGCCTCAGCATGAAAACTCTCACTTGTGGTACGAGCAATTGTTGGTAAAGTAAAATAGGACCCTCAAATGTATGTATCAGTAGAAAAACTTGTTTAATTCAT